CATTGCCAATTCACTTGAACCACGCTGACTCCGATCCTTCATTAGGGACACTCGCGACGCCCGGCCGGTGGGGAGAAGAAGAGGTTCGGTCGCTCCAAGGCGGCGGATGTGGGCGACGGACGACAAGCGGGCAAGCCGCAGGTCAAGAAGGCCACCTTCGAGAGCACAAAGAAGAAGGAAATTGGTGTTTCCGATCTCACCCTGCTCAGTAAGATCTCCAATGAAGCGATCAACGATAACCTGAAGCTCCGCTTCGAACACGATGAAATCTACGTAAGCCGGCCACCACTTCCCCTCCCCCCGCCCAGTCGCACAGCCAAGCGCTGCGAGTGCGTCCCACTAACCATGCTTCTCAATGTCCAAATAGACTTATATCGGACATGTGTTGGTGTCCGTCAACCCTTTTCGCGACTGTAAGTACCGTTGCCCCTGAAACCTACCGCTCCCCTCCCCCGCTGGTCGCGTGCCTGACCCTTTCCGCATAGTGGGGATCTATACCGATCAAGTCCTCGACTCCTACCGGGGTAAGAACCGACTCGAAGTCCCGCCCCATGTGTTCGCCGTCGCCGAATCCGCCTACTACAACATGAAGTCATACAAGGATAACCAGTGTGTGATTATTTCGGGAGAGTCGGGTGCCGGAAAGACGGAGGCGGCCAAGCGCCTGATGCAGTACATCGCCAACGTATCCGGGGGTACCGACTCATCGATCCAGCAGACGAAAGACATGGTTTTGGCCACTAACCCGTTGCTGGAATCCTTCGGTAACGCAAAGACTCTGCGCAACAACAACTCGTCGCGTTTCGGAAAGTACTTGGAGTTGGAATTCAACGCCCAGGGAGAGCCCGTGGGTGCCAACATCACCAACTACTTGCTGGAGAAATCGAGAGTCGTGGGGCAGATCACGAATGAGCGAAACTTCCACATCTTCTACCAATTCACCAAAGCTGCGCCGCAGAAATACAGAGGTATGTGGCATTGGGGAGGCATCGATTGGCACGCAGCTGACACATTAGGTAGACAATTTCGGTGTACAACAACCTCAGTCCTACGTATACACGAGTCGCTCGAAGTGTTTCGATGTGCCAGGAGTCGATGATGCGGCGGAGTTTCGAGATACTTTGAACGCAATGGGTGTGATCGGTATGAGCGAACCTGAACAAGACAACGTGTTCCGGATGTTAGCTGCCATCCTGTGGATTGGAAACGTCACATTCGCCGAGGATGATTCAGGAAATGCCGCCATTACGGACCAGTCGGTTGTCGATTTCGTCGCATATCTGCTAGAGGTCGATGCTGCGCAAGTCAACAAGGCGCTCACCATCCGTCTGATGGAGACTGCCCGTGGCGGCCGCCGAGGGTCGGTCTACGAGGTTCCCTTGAACACAGTGCAAGCTGTGGCTGTCCGCGACGCATTGGCCAAGGCCATCTACTTCAACTTGTTTGACTGGATCGTGGGACGTGTCAACTCGTCACTGACCGCCCGAGGCGCGATCACCAACTCCATCGGTATCTTGGATATTTATGGGTTCGAGATTTTCGAAAAGAACTCGTTCGAACAGCTGTGCATCAACTACGTCAACGAAAAGCTGCAGCAGATTTTCATTCAGTTGACTTTGAAGGCGGAGCAGGATGAATATGCGCGCGAGCAGATTCAATGGACTCCGATCAAGTACTTCGACAACAAGGTCGTGTGTTCGCTGATCGAAGACAAGCGGCCTCCCGGTGTTTTTGCTGCGCTCAACGACGCTTGCGCCACCGCACACGCCGATTCGAGCGCCGCGGACAACACCTTTGTCGGGAGACTCAACTTCTTGGGTCAGAACCCGAACTTTGAGAACCGACAAGGCCAATTCATTGTCAAGCACTACGCGGGTGATGTCAGCTACGCTGTGGAAGGAATGACCGACAAGAACAAGGACCAACTGCTCAAGGATCTGTTGAACCTTGTGGGATCCAGTGGCAATCAGTTCGTTCACACATTGTTCCCCAACCAGGTCAATCAGGACGACAAGAGACGTCCACCGACTGCAAGCGACAAGATCAAGGCTTCTGCCAACGACCTTGTGGCGACTCTGATGAAGGCTCAGCCGTCGTATATCCGTACGATCAAGCCGAACGATAATAAGGCTCCTAGGGAGTATAACGTGGGCAATGTTCTGCATCAGATCAAATATCTGGGATTGCAGGAAAACGTTCGGATCCGTCGTGCGGGTTTCGCCTACCGTCAAACCTTTGACAAATTCGTGGAGCGGTTCTACCTTTTGTCGCCCAAGACCTCATACGCTGGTGACTACACGTGGACAGGCGATGCCGAGTCTGGTGCTCGGCAGATCCTGAAGGATACCAGCATTCCCACCGAAGAGTACCAGATGGGTATCACCAAGGTCTTCGTCAAGACTCCGGAGACATTATTCGCGCTGGAGGCCATGCGCGACCGCTACTGGCACAACATGGCGATCCGGATTCAGCGCGCTTGGCGCAATTACCTGCGCTACCGGACCGAGTGCGCGATTCGCATTCAGCGCTTCTGGCGTCGGATGACCGGTGGTCTTGAATTCATCAAGCTGCGTGACCAGGGTCACCAGGTGCTACAGAACCGTAAAGAGCGTCGGAGGATGAGTTTGCTCGGCTCGCGTCGGTTCTTGGGAGATTACGTGGGGATCGGCAACAAGGGTGGACCTGGGGAGATGATTCGTAACGGTGCAGGCATTAGCGGTATGTGTTCTGCTCTTCGCACTTGGCATGACCTCGACTGACGAATCCAGGATCGGAGAATATTCTTTTCTCGTGTCGTGGAGAGGTTCTGGTGTCCAAGTTCGGACGGTCCAGCAAGCCTTCACCTCGCATTCTTGTTTTGGTACGTTGCAACCGCAGGGGTATTTAGACGTGGACTAACCAAAGCAGACAAATCGACATGTATATATTGTAGCGCAAACGTTTGTCAACAATCAGCTCCAGATCTCGTCGGAGACGACGGTACCAATTGGTGCTATCAAGTCTGTCAGCACGTCCAACTGCCGGGATGACTGGTTCTCTCTGGTGGTGGGCGGACAGGAGCCCGATCCTCTGGTGAACTGCGTTTTCAAGACGGAATTTTTCACCCATCTCAGCAACGCTCTCCGCGGCCAGTTGAACCTGAAGATCGCCGACCAGTAAGTTCTTTTTAAGTGGCGATGATGGCCGTTACTGACGCTGTGTAGCATCGAATACAACAAAAAACCTGGCAAGCTGGCCACCGTGAAGGTGGTCAAGGATCCGGGATCGTCGAACGTGGACAGCTACAAGAGTAGCACGATCCACACCAGTGCCGGCGAGCCCGCCACCTCAGTCTCCAAGCCCACCCCCCGCCCGAAGCAGGTCGCCGCACGGCCCGTCACGACAGGCAAGCTGCTGCGGCCTGGCGGACCGGGCGGTGGCCCGTCGAAGCTGGCGTCGCGACCTGCCCCGGCGCGCCAGCCACTGCCTCAGCAGCCAGCAGCTGCAGCTGCCGTGCAACCACCCCCGCCCGCGCCTCAACCTGCCGCCCAGGCTCGCCCGGTGCCTCAGCCTGTGGCCGCCGTTGCCGCCGCGTCCCATACCCGCACTGCATCATCTGGATCAGTGCGAGCACCCCCACCTCCTCCGCCCACGGGGCCCCCAGCCCCGAAGAAGGCCACGGCCAAGGTCTTGTACGACTTCAACAGCGACCGTTCGAACGAGCTGTCCATTCGAGCCGGCGAGATCGTGCAGATCGTGTCCAAGGAGGGTAACGGTAAGCAAATCTTTGTGTCGGACTATCGCAGTGCCATACTAACAAGACATCAGGCTGGTGGCTCTGCATGAACATGACCACCTCCGTCCAAGGCTGGACCCCTGAAGCCTATCTGGAAGAACAAGTCATCGCGGCGGCCACGCCGAAACCCGCGCCCCCGCCGCCTCCTCCGGCCACCGCACGCGCCAGCCCCATCCCCGCGACCAACGGCGCGGCCGCGGCCGCAAAAGCCAAAGCCAAACCCGCGCCGCCCGCGCCACCGATGAAACGGCCGAACATGGCCGGACGCAAGATGGCGCCGGCGCCGCCCCCGGCACCAAGAGACAGCGCGGTGAGCATGAACTCGGCGCACGATTCGTCGGGAGGTAGTGGCCGGGCGACGCCGAATAGCGCGTCCAACGCGAGTCTGGCGGGTGGATTGGCGGAGGCGTTGAAGGCGCGGCAGAATGCGATGCAGGGGCATCATCAGGACGACGATGATGATTGGTAGTGCCTCGATTACCGCCTTGATCATGGGGGTTGGTTAGATGAGTGGTAGATGCTTGTTGAAGAGAGTGGTGGCGGTGGGGCATGGAGCTGGGCTGCGTGGGAGGGACGAAAGTGTTGGTTTCTTTTATACCCGGATAGCTGGGAGAAGTAAATAGACGTTTGCATTGTCTTGTCAGTGGAGGAAATGGGTAGATCCGCCTAAGAATACATACACTGTCTATATTGCAATGGCTTCTCGGGTGATGTAGTCAGTTTGCACTCACAAAAGTAGTTCAGAGAGACTGGAGCGGAGCAGTTCGAGAAAGTTGAGGTTACGTCCCGTCCCGCCTTGAAGAGTAGACCTCGTACAGGTAGTCGGTCCAATAGTGCCCTCACCACCAACCGGACCTTCATCAACGCACTCAACGCATTCAACATACAGCCAAATGCCCGGACACCAAGAAATGCCCAACATCTGTGTCCACTCCCCAAACCCAACCAAGCAACCACCTTAACCCAAACCAACAAGACCTGATTAAGTTCGAAGACCACGAAATGCCTCAAACCTACACTCCCGCAAAGTCCACAGATCTCAACACAATACATGCATACATGCAATAACTACAAATCCAGATTCTCATCCTAAGAACATACACAAGCAAGTCTCCCGACCCGGCCCTCTGATCTGAATCTGCGTCGCGAGCGATGATGCTACATCCATCCGGCGATGCTCAACCCAACCCAACCCAACCGCACCGCCCGCAAAAGGCACGCAACCTTACAAGAACTTACTGGCCAAACTCAACAACCCGGCCGGCCCGCCGGTACCGCTCGACCCACTGCCCTGACTCTTCATGTACATCTTCAGCGCCATCTCAGCGGCCTGGTTGATGGCGGATTGCTTGTCGCCGGACTGTGCCCCCAACACAAAACACGAATTAGCCTGCGTCTAGCACAACCCCGTCCCCAAAACCAAAAGAAAACCAAAAGGGGATACATACAGCCATGCCACTGGAACTCTTCTCCTCCCACAGCTTACTCGCCTGCGCCATGGCCAGCCCAATGAACTCATTCTTCCCGCCGGAGCCACTTGCACCCGAAGAACCAGAGGTGAACATCTTCAGCGCCTGCATGGCGGCGCCAGCGCCCAGGGTCTTGGAATCATGCTGCTGGCCCTCGTTGGAATTGTACACGGCCTGGTGCGACTGCACCATCTGGGACTCGTCGATGTCGTCGTCGTCCTCCTCCTGGGAGGAATGGCGGTTGGTGATGTAGCCCAGCGCCTTCTGGAAGAGGTCCGAAGAGCCGGTGCCCGCGCTGTGCGATTCGGCGTGGCTGGTCGCCGAGGAGATGTCGTCGTAGCTGGGTCTGCCGCCGCCGCCGCCGCCGTAGGAGGGAGCGTTGCCGTAGCTGGGGTTGTGGGAGGGGGGGTTGTGGCCGTATTCGTTGCTGCCGCCGTAGGAACCGCCCTGGGGACCTCCCCCGCCGTAGGAACCGCCCTCGCTGTACCCGCCCGGCTGGTGCTGCTGGTGCTGGTAGCCGCCCTGCTCGCCGCCGTATCCGCCCTGGGGACCGCCGTAACCACCCTGGCTACCACCGTAGGAACCGCCCTGGGAGCCATAGCTCTGCTCGCCCCCATACCCATATCCACCCTGCTGCTCACCACCATAGGAACCGCCCTGACCCTGACCGTGGTGTGCGTTCCCGCTGTTGTTGTTGTTGTTGTTGTTGTTGTTGTTGCTGCCGCTGTTCCCACCAGCGTAGTTGCTGGCGGCCTGCTCGATGGCCGAGGAGATGAAGTTGGAGAAGGACATGGTGAGGATCGAGTCAGTCTTTGACTGTAACTGGCTGTGACTGTAACTGTGTTGGGATATGAAGGTAAATGTAGATGTAGATGTCAGCAGATACAGATGAGTAGCAGAAAATAAAAAGAGGAGGAAGAAAAGGAGAAGAAGAAGAAGAAGAAGAAGGAAGGACGAAGGGTGGTGGTCGATCAGCTGGTTTATTTACGTACGTAATGAGGGGCAGTCACAGTCAGTCACCACCACTTGTGGCTGAAGCGGTGTAGATCGGCGGGGTCGATCGCTAGTACGAGTAAGTACTAAGTCTCGGATCCACCACTTCTTGCCTCAGCCACGCCACTCGGACAGCCACCACTCGTATTCGGCCCAATGGACTCCCTCCCTACGTACGTATGCCATGCCTTCTTGTGCTCGTCTTGTGCTCGTCTCATGCACCATGATGCAATTCATGCAATTCATGCAAGCTACTAGCTACTATACAAATACAAATATGCTGGTGTGAGTACTCCAGTACCCGAATCTGTATACACATTCAATGGTATCTCCGCTAAACAATGCAATCACGTAAATCATAAACCACCACCGCTATTCACACTCACAAGATCAACGCCTCATGCTCCTCGTCCGTCAGATTCCACAGCACCCGCTGCTGCCGCTCGCGCTCACTCAGAACACAGCGCTCGTCCTCGTCCAGCTCCCCGTCCCGCACCCATTCATTCGGCAGCCCCTGCGGCCCATACCGTTGCCCCCATTGGCGTCGTTCGTACTGCATGAACCCCCCGAAATGCTCGTCCGTGTTGGCCACCCAGATCGTACTGCCGTCCGGCGAATAGTCCGCCCCGCCAATCTCCCCGAAGAAGTCGTGCACCTGCCGGCTCTGGTACGTCTGCGCGTTGACAATCGTGATCCGGTCCGCCGGCTCACACAGCAGCAACGTCCGCGACCCGCCCCCAACCGGCGAGAATCGCACCGACCGGTATCCCGCCACGTCGGACTCGATCTTCTGCAGCATGCGCCACATTCGCACGTCCCAGATGATCGCCGTCTTGTCCTGGTTGCTCGTCGCGATATGCCGCATGTCCGGCGACCACGCGCACGCAAACCCAAAGTCGCGGTGGCCCCGCAGTGGATGCACCGGGCGCCCACTGTCCGCCTCCACCACCCACGCATCCGGCGAGTCGCCGATCACCGCCCGTAGACGCCCGTCCGGCGCCGTCGCCGTGCAGTTGATGGCGCGCGAGAGCTCGTAGTCCGCGACAAACGTGTTGGTCTCGCAGTCCAGAACCCGGAGATGCCGGTCGTTGGACGCAAACACCCCCAGCGGCGACCCGCTGCTGCGACTCGGAACGATGTCGACGTGATTCGTGATGCCGTTCGGATCTTGGGTAACATACCCCGCGATCCCGGGCCCATCCGTGCCCATGGCTCGTAAAGCGTATTCCCCGGCGAAACCGCCCGCAATAGTAATGTCATGCGCCGACCGCATCGTTGAGATCTTCATCGACCCCTGTAGGCCGGACTCCACGGTCGGTTTCGATAGATCGATCATACAGCGCAGATCATCGTACGCGGGAACCCAGGAGTAGACCTTGCATTCGTGCGCAAAGTGCACCGTGTTATACGCCGCCGCGGACATCAGGTTCCGCAGCTGAAAATGTTCGATGCTGGCTTTGTGTTCCGTGTACATGGCCTTTTCGCGAAAATAGGTTTCGTCCCGTGCTAGTCGCGCGCCCGGCCGTTGGCGCGAATACTCCAGGTTATGATAGGACGTATAGGACTGGTCTCGCAAGCTCCGTGCATAGGATCGTTTCACCTGCAGTGCTTCCTTCCAGGGGATCTGCTGGATATCAAAGAAGTCCCATCGATACCCAGCCGGCCGGACGATTTTGGCCGGCGGCATCCACGAAAGCAGATTAGCGACCGCACTGCGGGACAGAGAGGCAGGGCCCATTGTAAATCCAGTGATCGAAGCGGTGTAAGACTGACAGAGCCATTGTCCGATGAATTGGTCGATGGTCAAGTTCCGTTCTTTCACTGTTGAGGGCTGTTTAGAATCCATACATAGGACACAGGACAAGGAGACACTTACCCATCCCAGTGAGCGGGTCCGCGACATGCTGCTCATTCGGCGCTTCGACACCGCTCGAGTCATCACCCTCAGAGAATGAAGCATTGAGGTCGTCGTGAGCAGCGCCGGGAACAATATCTGAAAATTGCGGCGCGTATCCGGCGTCCAATCCTTGATAGAATCCATCAAAGTCCACTTCCGATAAAGCGGCCGTGCTGCGACGGACCCGCGCCTCAGCATCCTCGAAATCGGATTCCTCATCGCCGTCGTCCATGTAGAATTTGTAGGTGTCATCGGGGTCATCATCCAGCCCAGACAGGGCGGGGAGTCGTTCCGCCGCGATCGAAGGTTCGTAATCCATGATCAGGTCGGTCGTTTCATCGTCATCGGTGATATCGGAGATTGTCGAGGCTATATCATGGGCATACTCTGCGCCGGGGGTATCCTCATAATCGCCCATGTATGGCCCCAGCGGTACGCCACCAACGTCCGAAAGCGCATCGGTCATCTCCGAGTCGGAGACATACCACTCTCCCGGGGGAGAGGACGAGGTGAGGCGGGGAGTCGCTTGGTCGGCTAGATGACCGTGACCGTAGTGGGCGAATTCCGGCGGCTCCATCACAGCGTTGACGATCTCCGTCACCGCGACAGGGGCAGCGTCGCTCGGGGCATTGGGATATTGCGGAACGGCCATAAAGGCCGACAACCGGGGATCGCTCATGTCGAGACCAAGCTCGGGGGCGGCGACGGCTGTGGACAGTGCTGGATCGGGCACGTCTGCGGATGCGCCCGGCGGATGACCCTCACCCGGTGGCGGCGGCATCATGTCCTCACGGGCAACGGGTGGTGACAAGCTAAGATATTGTGACGAGAATCGGGAGACATTGCGTGGTGAAGTGTCAGAGTAGGAACCGGCTGCACGGACGGACGAGACCGAAGGAGGAGTAGGAGGAGCAGAAGGAGAGTCGGGCCCAACCTGACCAGGCATTCCGGTCGTCAGATGCAGCGCGGAGCAATTCGGTTGGCGACGGGACTGGCGACCGCTCACTTTTTCGGGCGACCAACTGGACCAACTGGACCAACTGGTGGCGAGCGAACTGGCTGATAAGCAGCCGAAACGGCACAGCAAGTGCTGATTGGCACTGGGGCACTGGACCAGGTCGGAGGATGTCGTCCACGTTGTCTCTTTTTTTTTTTTTGTTTTTGTTCTTTTCTTTTTTATTATTATTTTGCGATCGCAATCACCTCCGGGGAGGGATCTTGGCTCTGCAGCCGGGTTGGGTTGTACACCCCGCAGCACAACTCCCTCCTCCCCCACACGGAGGGGACGGACACGGTCACGATCAGTGAGGGCAATGCGAGTCGGAGCCGGAGAGCGGGTAGGCGAACGGAGACAGACGCGCCTGTTTGCTTAGATCTAACAGAAATGAGTAGATTTGCGTCGAGAGCAGTGCTGAGTCAAGTTGACAGGCGCAAGAAACAACAAACAGGCCCGATCAGGAGGGGCAACGCTGCAGTTTAAATTGTTGACAGGTGATACGCCACTTCAAGCACACGCGGTGGGTTGAAGGATGGATTGGATGGCGACACACAACCCCGGCTACAGGCGAGCGACCGGGGGGGAAGACTTCAAGCGAGACAGGCAGCCCAGAGGTGCAAGAAAAAGCAAGAAAAAGCAAAGGAAAGGATCGGAGGGGAACAGGAAAACTTCGAATGTTATTCCATTTGCAGAGTGGGCAAATGCAATGAAAGGAAAAGGGAAGAGGAAGTGGAGGGTGCAGGAAGACCAACTTGGTAAGAGGTAAGTCAAGTGAAGTGAAGTGGATTGAATAACTAATACTGAGTGAGGGGAACCGATCATGGATGGAAAGAGAACGTGCATCGGGCCTGTCACATGGTGGAGGGTGGGGGTTTGGTTTCTCTGCCACTTTCACACTACTTTCACACTACTTTCACAGTAGGAACGAAGGATCGTCGGCTAAATCTCATCAACTGCAGATGATATTTCTTTATTGAACATTATTCATGGAAGGATTCCTTTCTTTCTTCTGTTTGGTTGTTTCCTTTTTCCGAATTCGCCTAATGACCAGTAGTGACTGTCCCTTCAACCCAACATGTACTCTCAGTTGCTGTACATACGTCCTTTTGTCCTGACTCCTGCTGTCGTGCTGGGCAGGATTCCGCGTTAGTCAGCAGGCTGTCTTTGACCGCAACATCAGCTTGGATGCACAATTTCCCTCACAAGCATTGATGATCATTGATCATTCATCGAGTCCCTTGCATACCTCAACCCAGAGATTCATCGTGGAGTCTCGGTGAAACCTATCCATGCAAAATGTCATCCTACTGCACAAAGACCACACCACACAACCCCACAAAAGCGAGCCCTGTCCAAGCTACCAAGGGCCCAATCGTCGGATTACTTCACGTCACCATGTCTACCACTACACCAAATCTCTACAAACGTGTCCGACATACTTCATCGTGAATCCGTAATGAAATTAGCATATACAACTCTGAAGTGGAAGGAAGGCGGATGCACCCGGTGAGTAGACACATTGATCAGAAGTCAGTCAGAAAGAAAATGATATCTACTACAAATTGGTCCAAGTGTACGAAGAAGGAAAAAAAGGTTGACAGTCCGATCGTATGTCATGCACCCGCAACGATGGACCCACGAGAAAAAGAAAATAAACTCCAAGCCAAATCAAATCAACACATGGCCTTTAACTGTACAGATCCAGCTCCAGATGCTTAGAACTGGTCAATGCAACCCCAGTACTGCTCGACGTCGTACTCGCCGGGGCTCTTCCACAGGTCGTTGGCGTACGAGAAGAAGACGGAGTCGCCACCGACGGCCTCACGGATGGCCTTGATGGCAGTAGCCTGCTCGGAGGCACCGGGGACGGCCGCACCGTTGGCGTTACCCTGGCTCGGCCAGCCGGTCTCCAGGTTGATGATGCTCAAGCCAGAGCAGATGGTCTTCAGGAGAGCGAACTCGGAACTGGCAAAGGTACCGGCCTCCTCGGCGGTGGTCTGGGCGTTGAAGAAGGGGTGGATGTTGGCACCAAGGATGTCCACGGCGTCGCACAGGTAGCTGGCGCCGTACTCCTGCCAGATGTCGACGGGCTCGGTGGTGGTGATCTGGCCAGTGTAGCCGGCGGCGGCGAAGGTGCTCTTGCAGGAGGTGATGAAGCTGGCAAGCGAGCTGGCATCGGTGTATCCGGAGGAGACAGCCTCGTTACCGGCCACGATCAGGCTGACCAGTTCCCACTTGCCCCACTCGGTGATGGCGGTGACCTGGCTCTCAGCACCCGAGGTACCGGTGCTGGAGATGTAGATACCGAGGATCAGCTTGAGGCCGAGCTCCTCAGCGAGCTCGCCAATGACCTCGAGGGTGTTGCAGTCCGTGGAGTAGAGACGGATGTGGGTGAAGCCCTTGCCGGCGATGGTCTTGATGTCCGAAGTCATGGTGGCAGTGGACTTGCAGCCGTTGTCGTTGGTGTAAGGGGTGTAGGTCATACCCATCAGGCCGGTAGCACTGACACCAGTGGCAGCGGCGCTGGAAGAGCTGGCAGCAGCGCTGGAGACAGTGCTGGCCTTGACGCTGGAGGTAGCGGGGACGGCAGTGGTGGCCGGGACGACGGTGGTGGTAGCAGCGGCAGCGGAGGGGGTGGTCACGGCAACAGCAGCAGAGCTGGTGGAGCCGCTGAAGGGGCAAGTGTAGGTGTAGTCAGTGACGGTGACGGTGACAACCTCGGCAGTGTGGGAGTAGACGCCCGGGGTGACGGTAGACACGGCGGGGTAGGTCACGACAGCGCTGGAGGGGACATAGGTGGTGGTGGGGGCGATGGTGTAGGTACCAGCGGCGGGGCAGTAGTAGGTGGTGTGTTCAATGACGCTGGTGACGGTGGTGCCCGAGGGCTTGACGGTGGCATAGGGGCAGACGATGGTGGTCGAGGTCTCGACAACGGTGGTCACACCACCGATGGTGTGAGTACCGCTAGGCAGCGTGGTGACGGCAGGAGTGACAACCTGGGTGGTTTCGCTGACGGTCACAGTGGACGCAGGGATGGTGTAGACACCAGTCGAAGCGAAGGTGGTGACATCAGGGGTGGGCAGCACCACGGCGCTGGAGGTGGGAACGGCAGCGGCGGGAGTCGAGGTGGTCTCAACGACAGCAGCAGGGGCCGAGGTAGTCTCAACGACAGGAGCAGGGGCCGAGGTGGTCTCAACGGCAGGAACGCCGGTAGCACCGGTAGCGCCAGTCACGCCAGTGGCCTCAACACCCTCGGGGGTGGTGGTAGAAGCCTCACCGGGGGAGCCTCCAGCGGGGACGGTAGCTGCCGACTCACCAGGAGTAGCAACGACAGTCACAGTGGTGTAGCTGGTGGAGTGGAGGGTGGTGACGACCTCGGAGACGACGGTCTCGGTGGCAGTAGAGACGGGCACGACTGGAAGAGGTTAGATGACGCACTTCACCAGAGCAAGAGGCAGAAACTCACGGGTAGGAGTTCCCCAGACGGTGACGACCTCGGTGGTGCAGCCGCAGGTCTCCTCGGAGGCGGAGGAAGCACCGGCCTGCACGGCACGACGCTGGTGGAAGGGCTCGTGGGCATGGCGACGGTGAGCGCCGTCAGCCAGAGCCGTACCGACGAGGGCGGCGGCCGCGGTAGCAAGGAAAGCACCCTTCATTTTGCGAGGTTGGCAAAGCGGGCTGAGGATGAATTGGTTGGTGAGGTGATTTTGGTGATGTTCCGAATCCGGTAATCGCAATGAGGGCCCGCTGAAAGAGTGAAGCGGTGGTCAATGAATGTGGGCAGGGAAGGAGAGAACTGGAAGCACGTTGGCCTCTAGTCTATTGTCAGGTCCGACCCTTGGGAAAGAAAACAATTCGAGACACGCTCGAGGGATGAATGAGAGAACAGGTGAGAGGAGGAGAAGGAAGAAGAAGGGAAAGAAGAGGGGGGAAGGAGGGAAGAAGTAAGAAGATGAACGGGGCGATGGGGCGGTAGAAAAGAAAGCAAAATCGATGGTGGCGCCCCTGGAGACGGGATGGCTGGTGATTGGCACTAACCGATGCAGGTTCTGGGCCAAAACGGCCCCAATTGTGGACAAGAACTGAAATGACAGAAAGAGGAAAGAGGATAGCAAGTGAGCAACACCAATTCACCAAAATCCACCATGATTCACAAAAGGGGGGGCGGTGTGTGTAACTTCTTTCAGGTCTGCCAGGCACTGCCGGACCACGATTGGTGGCGGGTTTCACGATGGACTCGGATGGAGGGGGGGGATAAGATGTGGGGGCAAGCATAAATAGGTCCTGTACTCCGGAGTACACAATTAGGGATCTAGAAGGGTTACAAGGTTGGTTATTATGGGACTATCTCGGCCAACCTCCTGTGTATGCATGGTGGATGGTGCAGGACTGTTTGGGACTGCTATACGATTTACCTAGTAGCTGCAGTGCTTGAAGGTTGGAGCAAACAGTCTATCTATCAAGAAGGTACTGGTATACATAGGTACAGTGTAGGTTCGTACAGTAGTTGACTGCTCAAGTGGAACAGTAAGAAAACTCTAAACCGAACTACACCAACACCCATTTTCTCTGAACAACTCCAGGAAGATCACTGATGCTATCGAAGAATAGAGTTGAGAGAATGAGAGAATCAACTTAGCTGCCCTGATAGTATCTGATTCAACCTTCAAGTCAACCTTCAAGTCTCCTATCAGTGCTATAGTAGTAGTGATGGATCACATCTCAACCATGAATAATGAGTTGGTGTGTTTTTGCGGGCTGCAAGGAACAGGAAACTTTTGCTGTTGACGCTTTCCCCGATCGGGCGATTTGGCGGGGCTCTTTCCCTCAGCCCTGGAGCCAGCCATTGGATGCATCAACTGCTTAATTTCCGGCCCTCCACCCAACAGGCCAATGGGTGCAACGGACAGTCAGCCTAAGAGGGGGCCGTGAGATTTCAGGAGGTTTTCACTTGGGCCTCCAAGACTAGATGAAACCGCTGGCCCAGAAAAGAGGCAAAGACACTATGCCAGGTGCCTGGAAATAGCAACACACAACACAGCAAAGCAACACAGCATCTTCAACACCCGTAGTGATAGATAGTATCCCTTCCGCTCCGCTACATCCATGGCGTTGCCCAGAGACTTGGTATACGGAAAGGATATATCATCTCGAGTTAAGTCGAAATCCTGGAGTCCAAGCCGCTCGCCCCTGAGAATTTTACTCTGAGGTATAACTTTGCTCCAACACACAGCCAATAATTGTCAATAGAGTCAACACTCATGGTGATCGGTGCTCCGGCAGGGGAATCTAGCGTGCAGGGCAGCTTAAACACAATGCCGATCCCCCTCACCACCTTCTGGCCCTCCCTCGGCTTCGAGGACCATGTTGATTTCGCTCGGGTGGAGTAGACTGCAGCCCATCGCAACGGTGACAGCTGGAGGTTACCCAGCAGCAGCAGCCGAATAACCGAAGCCACGGCGGCGAAAGAAGGAGTGTGCTGTGTCAGAGTCGCCTCCTCGTGCCCTTCGTTTCTAGGGTTTTAGGGGAAGGGGCTTGCTTTAGTCTACCCCAGACGATCCGGAGAATGGAATTGCATCTGACCGGTCCCTCAGCTCAGCCTCCGCCTCAGCCTCAGGGATTGCCACCTAGCACATACGTAGTATACCAGCAGTTCGAGGTACAAGAACCCTCGACATGCTCTTGAATTTTTCACCACCTTTTTTTCCTCCTTTCTCGAGGATGTCGACGATCACTGCTCATTTCCTTCTTTTGATCATCACCCGGCCAGCCCGGTCTGGACCGAGTCAGTGCTGGTCCTCCACTGCGGACCGGGGTGCCCCTGATTGAGCTTGGCTTGAGTCTGTTGCTGGCAAAAAAGCGAAGTTGAACAGATTCGCCAATACGCGAAATCAATAGTTCGGGTTGAATGTGAGACACGGTGGCAGCCAAGTCTACGTGGGTTACCCCTGATTCAGTGGGAAGCAGGTTATAAAGGATGCAAATGGGATCCTGGGGGCGTGACTGTCATGTGCACCGCCAGTGCTATTCAGAGCATTTTCGATTGGGGCGCAGCAGATTGGGGCGCAGAGTGCTCCGTAGTGCTGACGGGGATTGGATTCTGGAAGGTTCTCACCGGCTGGCGGATGCGAAGGCGGATGCGGATGCAGATGCCTGAGGCATGAAATGTATGAGGGCACGGAGTCAAGACAAGGGTGAGGTCGCAGTCGCAGTCATACTGTACTGTACCTTATATAGTAAAGCTACTCAGATATGGGTAGTTAACGTTTGGTCGCCAAGCTATAGATCTTCTGGAGTAGACATTATAACTCCCGCCCAGTGGTTGGCCAGTGACCTGATCGCCAGCAACGATCATGGCCCGACTCAAAACCACCACCGCCGCCATCGCCATCACAACCACCACCTCAACACAACCACTTCCGGTCTACGGAGTCCTCAGTGGAGAGGGAAAAACTCCAGCCCTTGACAATATATATTCCTACCCCCAAGTCACCTAGGAAGCACAGAAAACCACCGACCCAAACCTCCGGGAACCCATCGTACGACGCCAGCCAGACCGTACCATCATCACCACCACATCTCACCATCCCGATCATGCCATACCCACATCGACCACAACCACAACCACAACCACAACCACAACCACAACCACAACCACAACAACCACATGGACTGAGCATACGGTACCCATGCACACCGCATGGCCAATCCAGCCACCGCCACGAGTAGGCTTTTTCCCGGGCTCCCAGCAAATTAAACTAATCTCACCAATCCCACGCACCCCATTGGTGCAATCCACCCATGTCAACCCGACAGCCCACGAGGTACATCCATGCACCCACGCATTCTCAGCCTCGTGATACCAGACCAGAGCAGCTCCTACCCCGGACAGACCTCACCAACCCCAACTGGTTCGTTACCGGTTCAACCTGGCCGCATCCATAAGGTGACCTCACCCGGAACAGAACCCCCGAGCAGCTCCTTCCAACCGCTCACCTCGACAACATGGCCCGAATATCGAACCACCCTCATCCTACACTCGTATCTCGAGCCCAATCGCACGGGAACCGCACCATCCGGGTTGCGCTGTCGCTTTCCCCCGGATGAGACGATACCAAAAGTATACTCCAGAGTAGGTAGAGTAGAACAGTAGACCCAACCCGAGACAGTAGTATATAACCATCTCACCAGATCCCGAGTCCCCTCACCCTCAGCATCAAGCAAAGCAATCGGGATTTGAATCCAAATCAACATCCCAAGTATACTCTACATCCAATCAAGAATCACCAACCACTACATTCTACCCATACAAGACCTTCTTCAGCCGATCAACCACTCCATCCCACACCCTTCCCAAAGAAGCACACAAACAACCAACCAGCCCAAAATGACCAACACAACCAGCACATCCAAATCCCGCCTACAGAACGACTTCGGCGCCGATCTCTGGGTCAAGGATCGGCCTAAACACGTTCGTTTGCCCCAAACCCAAATCCAATCCCAAACCTTCACCCTGAACGGAACACTAACAAGCCATGGGCGCGCAGCACGCAACAGCAGGCCGAGGCCTCTTCGCGGGGCTGCAGGACACGAAGCGCTACAATGTCGACTCCGGGTGGGCGAAGCGCAGCACCGCCGACTCGTCGCAGGGGCTGTTTGGGCTGTTGTGGAGTCGGTATGTATTTCCTTCCCTGTTGTTTTCGGGGTGTAGTTGAGGGTTGAGGGTTGAGCTGATCGTATGACGTGGGTTAGGTTCACGGGGGGCTCGTACCGGCCTCCGACGGATTAGACGACTCAGGTCCTGGGGTTGGACAGGGGAAGGTTTTAAAGATGCTGGGTATGCTTATGGTTGTCTTTGTTGTAATATTCTTATGTGTATGTTTGCGTGGGTGTTGGAGGTTAGGGTCGGAATTCATCGCGTAATATCATTCGTCGAGGTGCTTCTTTCTTGTCGAGGTTGGATTGAGGTTGGATCTTTCTTGTGGAGATGTGTAGATTTAGGTGGGTGTGATCGATCAGGTATGGGTTTGCTTGAGGGAGGGGGTCACTTATCAGGTATACTGTGGTATATGTATGTATGGATTTGGGGGATCCGGGCTGGATATCGGGTCTACCCTTATCTATACCTCGTACTGGCAAGTAGCGCGGTAGCCCTATGATATCAGTAGTACTTGGTGCTTCTTCATCAGACGATGCAGGAAGAGGACTCAGGATATGAATTTCAGCTCAACATCGAGATTTGACAGACCTACACATGACAAAACTAATATGGGGTCAATAATTGTCTAACGCACGCCGTGGAGATGAGTCCAACCCAGCACAAGCCATTCCTCAACCTGAACGAAGGCAGTTATCACCCAACCTCCTTCAGACGAGGGTCTCCCTGCTCTATGAAGAGGAGAGAAGTTACCAAAGCACCTCAAAACACGGCATCAAGTCTCTCTAAAGCCTACAACTACAACCGAACAACGCATGGGTAAGCATGAGAATCGAAGACCCCTGTTTAATTGAGCGCTCCGCGAACCTCACCTCGCAAGCACGATTAGTTCCACTCATTAGTCTGCCGTTGAATCCCCCCACTTCCATCCATTACCCATCCACCTGTCCACAGTCTCCAACCTTCACAACTACCGCCCCAGCAGCAAGCAGATATCAGTCCATCCATCATCCCCATGAACTGCAACCTCCTATCACACGATCCATGGCCCACGACCTAATAACCCAGCAACCAGCCCACCCCCAAAACTCAGCCACGAACTGCGACCCCAAAATCAAGGACGATGGCACCGCTACAACCCCGTCAGTCTCTACCCCGCAATCCCAACCCCCAAACCACCGAAAGACAACTCACATGATCAGCCCCGCAATACAAGGGAACGCAGCATCCCATGCCGCTCGTCGCGTTAGCAACGCACGCTCTGTCGTTCAACTGCGGCTCATGTCAGTCACATCCTCCATACAATTCCCAGGAGCATTATGGACAAGCAGGGGAGGACGGGATTCGCATCACAATGGAGCTGGAATGCCTCCTTGAGAGAACTAGGGGCTGGGGCGGATGGTCGTGACCTCCCGAGAAAGCTCATCCGGATACATCTCATCCAGCACCCAGAACCCAATCTCTCAAACGAACCCCCGGGTATAGAAAGAGGCACAACCTCAACCCCTCCCCCATTCCCACCAGGAAGCGAAGCGAAGCAAAGCAAAGCAGCAACAAGCCAAAGAAGAAGAGTGAGAAGAAACGCACCCCAACGCACGAGAGCTCGATATTGAACATCCCGTTCTCCGCGGGACGGGCGGCCGTCAACGAGGCGAGCAGGGCGACGACAGCGAGGAAACGCATTTTGATGTTGGACTGTGATAAAGACTGAAGGTTCGTTTCTGTCCGGTTCAGATGGATGAGGTATGGGTATGCAAATGGAATCTGCATGAGAGCACCACAGCAAGAGTTAGCAAGCACGCACCACACCAAACCCCCAACCCGAAATCCCCAGCAAAATCTCCGACACCACCGAACCCCAACCAAAAGGATGGATGTGCAAACAATTGGAAGGTGCTGACACATACCAATGCTATCGATCAACCGTCAAAAATCAACTCCCGCCGGAATGAAGCAGAGGAACAACAACGTGGGAAGCTCAACCCGGAAGAATGTGGAAAGAGGGATGGAAATGGAATCACGAACGGGAAAATGTGATTGCTCTCGTGAGGTTCCAGGTAGGGATAAAACACAATGACGCGCCCCTCCGAGAGGAAAACCTAACGTTCTTATGAAGGTGTGTCTGTCTGTAGATCCCTTCCCTCCTGCTCCTGTTTGAGGTGTAGGTGGAGTGCAGTACTGGCCTTGGCTTTTTACTTAGGACGTGTGGGAAGTTTCCGGTCGGGTACTTTTTTTTTTTTTTTTTTTTTTCCTTGTGGAGGAATTGGATTTATTTTTGGAAATGGTCTTCACATTGCACACTGGATAAATGGGAATTGTGGTGCTGTAGGTGTTGGGAAAGTAGCCGGTAAGTTAACCTAGAAGTTAGCTACTCCGTACTCACAACAACAGCAGCAGCAGCAGCAGCAGCAGCAGCAGCAGCAAACCCGTGAAACAGTAATCGGCGGGATCGGCGCGGGAATCCCTGCGGAGGGAAGGTGTGGATCGGCAGGGGAGGAGGGAGGGGGCGGGAAAGAGGGGCGACTGGCAGTGTTTCTTTCCTGCCTCCAGTCAACCCTTAAAGCAGGGCAACTCGGGCGCCGCGAGTGACAGCCAACCCCCCCTCCCCGACCGACCCCAAACTTCGTGACTTTCATTCTCCATTAGAGACTCAGAGTGAGATCGTCACGTCCAAAGCCCAATAGTTTCCCTGCTTGCTGCGCTTGGCGGGCGCACTAGCGATGAAACGGTGCTGCAGGATCGTTGAGTGTCCGGTTGGACATTGCACGTATGAGTAGGTACTGTGCTCGGTGAGTACTGAGCAGCAGCGTGTTTTGGTTTCAAGGGGCTGAAGCATTATCTATCCATCCCCTGACATGTACGCAGTACCTACATCATATATCATATAGTCATTATGCTCACATTCGGTTGAGGTTTGATCTCATCTCCATCTATCTCAACTTCACCATAAAACCATGCTATCAGTGCCGCAGGCGGAGTACGGTCGTTTGGCTCTCTCCTATCCACCAGACAACAAGTTCACCTGTCGATCGCAATGGCTACCCAAGCGAACGGATCATCGTACTACTATTCAGGAGTCAGATGCCCCGTGTATAAAGCTCCCTACTGCAGATATACTCAGTCGGTCAGATGCTCTGTAATATCTCCCCGCTACTTCCATGTTACCACCCACCCTCAAGGAATCAACTCGCCGGTGCATGTGAAGAGTCAATTCGCCGTATATCTCGAACCCCACAAATAACTGCCGCACTCAACACACAAAAGTTCATGCTGGTACAAATGTGGAACCCGACTATGCATACATACACCAAAACTCATCCCAAATATACAAGCTCATTAGTAGTCAAGTGTGTCCAAAAGTCAGTGCAAGTGCTGTGCTGCTGTGCTATGTAGAATGCCAAATCCCTCTGGTATAAAGAATGTAACCAAGAATCAAGAAACAAAAACTGGGCTAAATGGTCACGCATGTAGTGGAAGGACTGTAAAAGTCGCCAGACATCTCGTGCACGCACAATCAAAAAATGCTGAAGCGTTTCGATTTACCCTCTATATCCCGATCAGTTTCACTTCATTCAAACGTCAAGCCACCAAACTACTTACCGGTCTTCCCACTCGACTTCTTGCCCTTCCCCGCATCCGCAGCCCCTTGCCCTGGTGCAACCCCGTCGGCGGCCGCTCGAATAGTCGCCAGCCGGTTCTTCGCCCGCTCATCGCCTTGCTCGGCCGCCTTAACGTACCATACATTGGCTTGCAGCGGGTCGCGTCGACAGCCAATGCCCGTCTCCGTAAAATACCCAATGGCATATTGAGCTTTCACCAGGCCTGTCAAACATAAAGGGTCAGCATCGGAACAAACCACTCCAAGGCAAATCGACGTACCGGATTCGGCAGCACGTTTGGCCCATTCGTACGCCTCCTCCTCGTCCTTCTCGAGGACAGGCTCCGCTCCAATCAGATACCAAGCACAAAGAGCCATCATGGCCAAAGGATGGCCCCCCTGTGCCGCACCCGTGTAGAAATGAATCGACAAAGCCGGGTCTCGCGGACAATCCAACTTGCCGTGCTCGTATGCATCTCCCAGGCGATAGCTGGCCTCCACATGCCCCAGGTCCGCCGACTTGGTGAACAGTTGCGCGGCGTACGACGGATCCAAAAACACGTCATCGCCGTAGCCCGTTTCATGCAGCAATCCGAGCTCATACGGGCCGGAATTGTACTGCTCGTCCGCGGACTCGGCCGCACGCTTCAACCACTTAATCCCCTCGCGATACCGTTTGCCGAGACCCATGTCGCCCGCAAGACATGCCTTGGACATCCGAAGCATAGCACCCGGATGGTTCTTAGATGCCGCTTGCCGATAGAACTGTTGCGCCCGGGCAGCGTCCACCCGAGTGCCCCAGCCAAACTCAAAACACAGGGCCGCCCGATAGCATGCCTCGACGTGTCCGTGTTTGCTGGCGGCCACAAACAGCGGGAATGCTCGGTCATAATCCTCCTTGCCCTTGCTGAACAATCCTGACGCGTATCCGTCCGCAATGTAGTATTGCGCAAATGGGTAGCTCCGATCAGAAAGCCGCTGGAGGATCGACTTCGCTTCTTTCAGCAATCCACCCCGAGTGATCTCTGCAGCCTTACGTCCGTGCACGGCAGAGGCATCGCCTCCAAGCCCTTCCGGTGGCATGTCCAGCGCGGCGTTGACCATGAACAGGGCAAACTCATACTGGACGGCCGGATCATCCGTTTTCTTGACATTCGCCAGGTACATGTCGAACGTTTGCTTGTGGCTCAGCAGCGAAGCATTGTTGCCGATTGCCGATTGCAGCTGGGAGTTCCCGAACTGCACGGGCGCCGGACCAGGTTGCGGGTAGTGGCTGTTGAGCTGATCGACAAAAGACAGTGGCCGAACGTCGGGTGATGCAACAGACTCTCTTGAGGATGATCGGCCCTGAAGGTATGGGGATAGGTGAGGGGACCGATGGCGTCCTTCGCCGACGCTGGACGTGAAGGAGTACGTCGACCGTGGTCGGGGCCTGGCGCTCAAATAGCCGTTCGTGCCCGAGACGTTCTCCCCGGATCCAGTGGCCGAGGACTGTGAAGGAACTTCATAGGGACGGTGGTGATAGTGTAAGGGCTCATAGACCTCGGGCGTCTCTGCGCTGCTATCCAGACTTTCCCGGGGTGACACATGCTCATTCTCTTTCGGAGCTGCTTGGTCGACGGAGGAGGAGCTGGTGTTTGCAAGGCTGTCGGGTTGTTCTCGGGAGTTGGGGTCGACCACGGACCACGAGCCGCTGCTCGTGGGCGTGTGGCCGTACACTAACGGCCGCGGAGCCCGATATAGTTCTCCCTCACGTGGAGGTGCATTGTCGATATCCTTCCCGTGCGTCGGGGATTTTTCTGCAAGTGCCAAGTCGGAAAAGGCAGCGCCCGTAAGTGACAAAGCATATTCGTCGTCGTGGAAATTCTGCACCGGCTGGTCTACCTCGCCATGGATCCGCACTCTCGGAACTTGCACAGGCTGATGTGTCTCTCCATCGGTCGCTAGCGATCGAGACGGGGGCGATTGTTCGCGCGTGGACGCCATTTTCAATTGCTGATGCGAGCTGGGACGTCGGAGAGTTTCGTGATGCGACGAGAGAAAGGGCGGGGATGAACGGAGATAGACCGGAGGAGGGGAAGGCAGCGGCTGAGAATACCTACTGGCCTCAGTGCTCGCCATTGGAGCAACTCCTCACTAATTGGGGGTGTACGTAATCCTCCGAGTTGAGTTCTCCAAATTGTAAAGCTGGATGGAGGGATCTAAGCGTGGCAGACTGGCAGAGTCTAGGCGTTGGACATGTAGGCAGCCATGGAGCAGGTCAAGAAAGTCGAGGGTAATATTCTGGAGCGACTGATGGGATGCAAGGACAACGTCAACGAGAGATGGGATGTGCACCGGTTATCAGGCGACCAGGGACTGGGAGGATGTGGAGAAACTGGAGACGATGGGTCAATGAGAGGACGAAATCGGGGGGTCCACCGGTTAGGATAGACAGGCTTACCTAGTCAAATCTGTTGAAGGAACCGTGGTGATGATCGGTACTTCCGAGAGTTCATTCCGCCCGAAACAAAAACGAGAGGAGATTCGCTAAGGGCCAACGAGAGTCAGGGACTTGGGGGAGAGACACAAACGACAGTGACACCGCTAGAAGAGAAGAGAGAGAGGGAGAGAGAGAGAGAGGAGGGGAAGAAAGAGTTGTGGTGCGGTGATGAGAAAAAGAGAGGAAATGGGGAGAAGGGACGGACGGGCCACAGGAAGGAGAGGGAGAGAGAGAGAGAAGTCAGTTGGCAGTCATACTGTATTCACAGTATGTACTCATAGTAACAGAACAGTACAAAACACAGTGGTTTCTTTTTTGTCTTTTGACTCTTTTGGTGCCGGTGGCCCCTCAAAACTTACTAGTAAGCTCAGCAACTAAGCCCCTCTAAGGTTAGTCAGTAGTTCGTCAGTGGCTTTAGTGGCTCGGATTAAAAATAGCGCCGGAGAGGCGTTGGGAACATTACGAGCTGCTGCACGCACTGCCAATGTATGTTTCACTCTTTCACTCCAGGCTTCCGTTCCCCCTCTCCCTATCCGGGCATTCCTCCCATTTCATATCTAGTCTCGCTGCAGTTCAATTGAGACTGAACACTGATGATCCAAGTCGCGTCACCGGTGCCCTTTTATCGCTGTTCATCCATGCCTTCAGGCGAATGAGATGGTTGCTTAGTAGACAAACCGATGCTGATGTCGCAATGACTCTGACTTCCAAACGAGATTTTAGCACCTGCCGAGCAGTTCGAGGCGTCAAAAAAATCACCACGTCAGCAACTATTAATACCTCTTAAAATGGTCGATATTAGGCCCATTGGACTACAGCCTATCAAAGCATTCCTGCCAAGAGTGCCAATAACCGCTTCCTTTTCCCCACGGGGCGTCGCGATTGCAAAGGATCCTCGGATGAAGATCGCGCAGGCGCTTCCAGCCTTCCATCGAGCCCGATTCACATCGCATTGAC